CTCCAGCAGGGATCAAACCTCGTTCCCTTGTAAGAGAAGCAACAAATCAATCAAGCATGACTTATCACTCAGCTAGGAAGAGCATCACAGTTTCATTTTCTTGATTAAGATTTCTCGAATACACCAGCCGATAGATGTAATACACACTGTTTAATGTAAAAATAAGAATGAGATGTCCTTGAAACATGAGTATTCGCTATAATAATGTCTGAAGTAATAAAAATGTTGTATTGAAAATAAAATCCATTAATTCTTTAGAAAAATATTTTTACATATTTATGTACAAAAGAGGACAATCAAAATAGGGGATTATGATGAAAAATAAATATTAGTTTTGGTAAATTAATGTTTTTTTTTCCATCATTATAATATGGATGTATTGGACATCAGAATATTATTATTATTATTACTATTATTATTATTATATATGTATAAGGATAAACAACAATAGAAAAACAGTATTATTAGCTGATTTGTTTTGTCCAATGTGGATTTTTTCAAGGCAAAAACGGAATGAATTTATTGAAAACAATATATTGGAGAAACAAGCAGAAATTTAAAAAATTCCATCTATGAGCACAAAAGAGACCTCACAAAAAACAACCTAACTAATGTACTAGTCATACATAGATATAAATTCAACCACAATTTTGATTTTAAAAATGTTACCCTCATAAAAAAAAAACCTCACTCAGAAGGAAAATCCTTGAGAGTGCTGCCATTGAATATTACCCAAATATTAATCTATGCCTAGGTTTTTTCTCAGTATCAACTTTCCTAACAGAATTACTACTCTCCCAAACAAATGTACACAAATGTATCAAGAAATCAAAAGAAAATGGTTGAATCTGTCAAAGCAATAGAAAAAATATTCTACACGTGAAAGTACTTGACGTAATTTTCAGTTGACAATATGAATGCAATAGTGTTTTATAAATTCTCCTAGTTAATAAGGTAATTTTTTGTTGTTAATAGTTACTTTGTTTTCAATAAATTCATTTCATTTTTGCCTTGAAAAAGTCAACATTGGACAAAACGCATCAGCTAATAATACAATTTTCCTATTGTCTTTTACCTTTATACATATTGTCTTTTTCTACTGGTTAACTGAGTATCTTTTTATATTATATATATATATGCATATATATATATATATATATATATATATATATATATATATATATATATATATATATATAGAGAGAGAGAGAGAGAGAAGAATATGAGTATTGGAATTCATGCATAAAAATGTGTATGCATCTATGAATGTGAATGTTTGTGGTAAAACATGAATGCAAATATATTATGTAATTGGACAGACATCAAGGAAACATGAAAACATCCAATTCATCTGATTTAAATTCTATGAAGACACCATAAACTCATTTACACAAATATATATAAACAAAAATATTAATAAATGCATTTTCATATGAATTCATTGTAACATTATTTATGATGTTATATTTATATATTATTATATGTTATTGATTATCAAAAATTTAAAAGCAATATCAATCATTATCTTCTGTCTTCTTGATTCCTGTTCTTTTATTGTTCTCTCTCTTGTTTTTCATTTTCTCATCTTCTCTCACACTCAGTAACCCCCTTTGCATCTTAGTGGCTTTATTGCCTTGCTTGTGGGGAAATGATGAAAAAAATTAAGTATACAGTTTCTTCAATTACACTTCTCACTTGTGGAACCCTCTTCTGACATCTTGCTTCCCAGTCAACTTTGTTCTTCAAAAATTTAAATGTAATGTCAATCGCTATCTTCCGTCTAAATAATTCCTTTTCTTTTATTGTTCTCTCTTCTTAATAGTGTTTTATTTTCATATTGTCTAACACTCAATAACACTTTGCATCTTAGTGGCTTTATTGCCTTGCTTGGGATGAAATGATAAAAAAAATATATGCTATCTTTACTGATAATAAAATTAGTAGCAATGCATTGATTTGGTACATGATAGTAAGCCTTGTACCTTACTATTTTTGAGTAGGTACACATCTACTTATCATCTCTCAGTTGCATCTCTGTCTTTGGGCAGAGTGCGTTCAGGGGCGATTCCGTTAAAGAACAGAGCCGCAACTGAGGAAAATTATACTGAAGAGGTGCTCAGCCCTGGGGAAAAGCTGCCTGAGCCTGCACCCTCCCATTGCACCAAAGACAGCGCAACTGAAAGTTTCGGGGTCTCGGGGAATTTTTGTTCCGTGCTCGGGCTCCCCACATTAAACTGACCTTGTGGGGTTGAGTAAATATCTACATGATGGTAAACCTTTTCATCAGTAAAATTTACATAAATTCCTGAACATTGGAAAACAGAGTTGGTGAATCAAGTTCGAATTCTAGCCTCATCTCTTGCATTCACTTTTGCACAGTTGTCATCATAAAAGGCATGAATCCATATTTTCATCTCTTAATTTAAATATCTTAAATGTCTAGTAAGTTTTTTAAGTGTGGACAGAAAATGCAACACCAGAATCCTAAACCTAAGCAAAATATTAAGAAACAGGAAAATTTCATTAAAAACAAAGGAAATAGTGCTGAACTGTTATGTAATATCAGTTCTTCTATATGGCAAGAAGAGACATGAGGCAAGAGAGATGTGGTTCTACAGAAGGATGCTGAGAATACCATGAAAGGAATAGGAAAGAAATGACAAATTTTTAGGGAAAATGGAAACAAGGGAAAGAGGGCTTGGAAAATAAGATACTCACAGGAAAGATGGAAGGATAGAAACAAACAATGCATAACATACCAAGCAAGCTTGACTAAATGAATGGTGAAACAAAAAGACAAAATTTATTTAGAAGTTGAAGGAGCATATTCTTTTCTATACAAAGAGAAATGATGGATAACATATCATGAATAAATTCTGTGTGTGTGTCATCTTTGATGACCACATTCATTACAAGTTAGATCAAATTCTGAGCAACATTTTCAGGAAAATTAACAACCACACCCTTACAAATACCTCTCTTAAATTTTTCATGCTCAACTCAATTCTGTTAAAAGACTTTCCTTCCATTTTGGATGGCTTTTCTTCAGGTTGAATAATCCAGAGTTAGGTTTTCCTGGTCATCTTGTATGATGATGGCCTTCTGAAGCCTTTGTGTTGGTCTTTTTCCTTCAATGAAAAACACTTTACAGAAACTGCTTAGGGATCCTATCATGTTTCCTCATGACCATTGCAACTAGTGCTGAAGTACTAGAGACTCTAGACTGACTGATGGACAAACCAAAATACATAGATAGATATAAAAAAAACCACTGCAACCAGGATTGTTGAAATAGTTTATACATTTAACAGAAGGATGGGTGAGGGAGCTATCACTTAGTCAGAAGTGGTTACCATAGTTAATTAGTTTTAGATAGATAGATAGATAGATAGATAGATAGATAGTGAAGACATAGATAGATAGATAGATAGATAGATAGATAGATAGATAGATAGTGAAGACATAGATAGATAGATAGATAGATAGATAGATAGATAGATAGATAGATAGATATGAACAAAGTGAAGTTGATAGATAGAAATAGACAACATAGATAAATAGATGGATAGTTAGAAATGAACAAAGTGCTGTAGATAGATAGATAGATAGATAGATAGATAGATAGATAGATAGTAGGAAAACATCCAGAGAGTAAGAAAAACAGATTAAGATAGATAGATAGATAGATAGATAGATAGATAGATAGATAGATAGATAGATAGATAGATAGGAAACATTCAGGGAGAAAGAAAGAAACAGCTTAAACTAGATTAAAAGAAAAATATTCAGAGAGCGACATAGATAAATAGATAGATAGATAGATAGAAATGAACAAAGTCTTGTAGATAGATAGAAATGAACAAGGTGTTGTAGATAGATAGATAGATAGATAGATAGATAGATAGAAGGAAAACACCGAGAGAGAAAGACAGAAACATATTAAGATAGAAGGAAAACATCAAGAGAGAAAGAAAAACAGATTAAGATCGATAGCTAGATAGATAGATAGCTAGATAGGAGGGAAAAAGAAAGAAATAGATTCGTATAGAGAGAAGGAAAACATTTAGAGAGAAATAAAGTAACAAATTAATACAGATAAATACAGGGTGTGATAGGTAAACTGTCACCATTTTATATTTTTTATTTCATACAAGTGCATTGTTTGTTTTTGATTTTGTTAACTGCACAGTATAGTAAGGTCAATTGGGCACCATCTGTGAAATAAAAAGCACCATGATGCAATTCACTCTGCCAGAAATTTGGAAACGGCATGCTGTATTGCTTGACATTTGTGCTGGAAGCTCTAATATGAACATTTCATGGTGTTTGGGTGTCAATCTGAAGGCAATGCAGAGGATTTGGAAAGAATTGGATGAGTCTAATGGTGATTACAAAGGTACAGCATCTTGGAAAACTTATTCTGATCATTCTGATAAGAAAAGAGCTTCAGAATTTGTTGATGTGAGCCACAAACTCAACATTGAGGCCTACACCAAATACCTTGAGGAGGTAGAGCTGCCCTGGGCCAAAACGGTGGCTACTGGATGACCCTATATCTGGCAACAGGGCTCTGCACCATGCCACACAAGCAGGAGAACCCTGTCATGGATGTCAGACAATTTCTGCGACCACATCACCCCTTATATCTGACCACCTAACTCCCCAGACTGCAATCCCCTTGGTTATTATGTGTGGGGCACAGTTGAGTGAGAGACCAACAAAACTCCTTATAACACCAAAGATGAACTAAAGTCAAGGATTATGGTAGCATTCAGCAACTTAAATAAGGTGACCATCCAGAAGAGATATAGGAGATTCCAATGTCACCTGGAGGTTCTTGTTGAATTCAATGGTGATTTTATTGAATGAATTTACTCTTGAGAATTTCAAGATATTTTTATGCAATTTTGGTTAATGTACCTGTTATAATGAGATGTCAGTTTTATTTTATTATTTTTGTAATTTAGACAACAATTTATCGACAAATAGAAGTAAAACATTCAGAGTGAAAGAAAGAAACAGGTTATGATAGATATGAATAGAGTGAGATAGATAGATAGATAGATAGATAGAAACAGAGTGAAATGGATAGATATGAACAGAGTGAAATAGATATGAACAAAGATAGATAGATAGATATGAACAGAGTGAAAGTGATAGATATGAAGTGTGAAATAGATATGAACAGAGTGAGATAGATAGATAGATAGATAGATAGATAGATAGATAGATAGATAGATAGATAGATAGATATGAACAGAGTGAAAGTGATATGAACAGAGTGAGATAGATAGATATGAACAGAGTGAAGTAGATAGGTAGATAGATATGAACAGAGTGAGATAGATAGATAGATAGATAGATAGATAGATATCAACAGAGTGAAGTAGATAGGTAGATAGATATGAACAGAGTAAGAAAGATATGAACAGAGTGAAATAGATAGATAGATAGATAGATATGATTAAACTCAGATACAGGCAACAAATTCTGGTTCTACTGAGGAATTCTAAGAATGCCATGTAAGGAATATGAGAAAGAAAGCAATTCTAAGGAAAACACAAGCAAAAAGGATACTAAGAAGGTGGCAGTTGAAGTCTCTGGGATGCATAAAGAGAAAAGTGGATTTGTAGAATTTTATGGGTAGCGGGAAACAGTCCGTAACATGCCTAGTGATCTTGTGAAAATGGATAGCAGAACAAGTTCTGAGAGGATGGAAATTTCTAGAGAGCCGTGAAAGCAGAAAATTGAAATTAATGAGGTAAGAAGACTTGAAGAATTATTAATATTGAATGCAAGTGAGACTAATGAAAGCAGTAAATAATGCACTTAACAAAAGCAGAACATGGGCTTGGATGAATAGCTAAGAGATAGACCTTACTCAGAGCTACAAAAGATGTTGTGGAGAGCCGCGAACAGCCATATCCTGAAAGGACACAGCATATAACAGAAGAACTTTTATAAGTGTTTCCTTCTATTAATTCATCTTAATTCATTTGGGTACATATTGAAATGGCGAAGTAGATAGGTAGGTAAATAGATATGAACAGAGTGAGAAAGATATGAACGGAGTAAAATAGATAGATAGATAGGAAAAGAGTGAGAAAGATATGAACAGAGTGGGATAGATAGATAGATAGATAGATAGATAGATAGATAGATAGATAGATAGATAGATAGATAGATAGATAGATAGATAGATAGATAGATAGATAAAGATAGATAGAACAGAGGTGAAAATAGAATAGAGGAAATAGATAGATAGATAGATAGATAGATAGATAGATAGATAGGAAAAGAGTGAGAAAGATATGAACAGAGTGAAATAGATAGATAGATAGATAGATAGATAGATAGATAGATAGATAGATAGGAAAAGAGTGAGAAAGATGAACAGAGGAATAGATAGATAGATAGATAGGAGGAAAGAGTGAGAAAGATATGAACAGAGTGAAATAGATAGATAGATAGATAGATAGATAGATAGATAGGAAAAGAGTGAGAAAGATATGAACAGAGTGAAATAGATAGATAGATAGATAGATAGATAGATAGATAGATAGATAGATAGGAAAAGAGTGAGAAAGATATGAACAGAGTGAAATAGATGGATGGATAGATAGATATGAACAGATTGAAGTAGATAGGTAGATAGATAGATATGAACAGAGTGAGAAAGATATCAACACAGTGAGATAGATAGATAGATAGATAAATAGATAGAAATTACCAGAATATGAAATCAGGCAAATGTGGTGATATTTAGATTCTTGCACATGTATGAGGCATGCCAGGCATGAACTCATCCAAAGGGAGAAAGTAGATCACAGATTATATAGGATCATAACTGTACATCACTTAATTGATTCTCTAATGTTTGCCAACACATTCAGACAATAATCCACATTTAATTAAATGTTCCTAATTAGGTCAATGCAGGTGCACAGTGGTTCAATCAATTATGTGCCATTCATGAAACCCACTTAGGCAATCATGTATCTTTCAAAACATGACTGACGAGGCAGATTTTTTCCCACAGTAGGTTGTCATTTCTTTCTGCGGTAGACCAGTTGCCATCCAAGGCTCTAGAACCCAGTCTGTCCTGCTATTTACCTATAGCTGGTGAGGAGAAGAAGAAGATTCATACCTTTCTCACGGGTCAGTCAGTTATGTGCCATGTGTGATACACGCTTAGGTTATCTTGTATTTTCAATACATGACTGACAAGGCAGATTTTTTTCCCACAGTAAGTTGCCATCCCTATCTGTCCTACTATTTACCCATAGCTGGGGGGAGAAGAAGAGGATTCATACCTTTTCCAAGGGCATTAACATGTAAGTGAATTTCAGTCAGTTATATGCCATGCAAGATACACACTAAGGTGATCATGTATTTTCAATACATGACTGACAAGGCAGATTTTTTTCCCACTGTAGGTTGCCATCCCTATCTGTCCTACTATTTACCCATAGCTGGGGGGAGAAGAAGAGGATTCATACCTTTTCCAAGGGCATTAACATGTAAGTGAATTTCAGTCAGTTATATGCCATACAAGATACACACTAAGGTGATCATGTATTTTCAATACATGACTGACAAGGCAGATTTTTTTCCTGCAGTAGTTGCCATCCCAGTCTGTCCTGCTATTTATTTACCCATAGCTGGGTGGAGAAGAAGAGGATTCATACCTTTCCCAAGAGTATTAGCACACAAGAAAATGTAATGGATTCAACTGGAATTTGATCTCAACTCTCCGATTCCTCAGTCCAAGCCAGTGTCCATTACTCCACCATGCCTCCAATGCACAATGGTTATAAATGCAAAAAATGGGATTAGTATGTCAAGTTCAAATTTCAGCTGGGGCAGTTCCATACAGTTTCATATGTTTGCGAAAAATATGAATTCATTTTGTATCCTTAAATTTATGGGTAAAATACTGGGATCTCTAGACTTAATTGGCAATTAATCTAGAAGATCAACTCTGAATTCCAAACCAGTTGGGAGCTTGGCCAGTAATGGCGTCCTATAAGAACCTACTTTCTAGATATACCCCTGGGAAATATATGCATTTATCTCTTCTCCCTGAATCTATAGGTTTAAATACTGGGCTCTGTAGCCTTGGTTAGCAAATAGTCTAGAAGAAAGACCATCTCTGAATTCAAAAGACTGTCAGGAAGAATATGAATATATCTCTTCTGCCTGATGCTAATATCAAATCATACTGAGCTTTCTCGCCTTGGTTAGCAATCAGTCTAGAAGAAAGATGATTATGAATTCAAAGATTCACTCTGTGCTATATGAACATACTTGCTCCAAATACCCTATGAATCTATCGCTTCTCCACATTTTCATTTATAGAATGAATATCAGGGCTGACTAATGTTACTAAAAAACAAGGAGCAGGAGAATGTCTAAAGATAAAATGAGTGCCATTTTAAAAATTGACGTTTTCAGGAACGATCTCTTAAAATGGGATCCACCCTTCAGTGTTATACGTAGATCCAAAACAAAGTAATTAATGCGGAAGAGTGGATAAACATTTTAAAAAGATCAATAAAGAAAATTTTGAAACTGAGCTGAAGTATCAAACGTAGAACAAACTTTGGGCAATATTCATCACAAAATATTCCAATTTAATTTGGACTCTAAACAAAAAGAAATCACCGAAAAAAAAGGACGACTGTATCTAACTTCCAGCAATTCGAGAATTTTGCCTTTATCTTCTTACAGAAATCAATAAATTTAGATGAGTTGCACCTGCTAATTAGTCAGCTTGCATTTGGAAAAAAAAAATCAATTTGTATTTTTGCCATTGTTGGAAACAATTATTCTGTAATTTGTACTGTGTTCTCATTTCAAATAGATTTTTGCTCAAGTCAGCAATTTTTTTTCTGCTGAGCAAATGTTTCTCCCTCACCAAAAAAAAAAAAAAATAAAAGTATAATCTTGTTTGTCCGTTCTGAATATAGATAGCATCTTATATACTCTCCCTAGAGCGGCTTCTTTGTTAAAAATAAATTTCAAGAACAAATTCCAAAAGTCTACTTTTTTTTTCCCAATGAATCTCTAACAGCAAAACTGTCAATTTTGGCAGTTATTTAAACTTACAGAATCATAGTAAAAAGCTAAATTTCAATAATAAAATTATATATATATATATAAGTGTGTGTGTGTGTGTGTGTGTGTGTGTTAAGAAATATACATAATACCTTACATTAATTGCACAACTCTGAGTTTCATGCTGAAGCAATTTTCAAGTGCTGAAATTTCAGTCTTGTAAGTTAAATTGGGTAGATGGAACCCTTAGGATCTGTTGGTGGCTGTACTAGCATGACATCACATAAATATTGTGTATATATATATATATATATATATATATATATATATATATATATATATATATATATATATATATATATATATATATATATATGAAGAAATATAGTTTTAAGGTGTGTTACAATTATGGGATAGAGCCTATGCAAATACAGATATAAAAGTGAACACAGAATTCAACACTCAAAGACGACAGGCTGTTCCAATCATCAATTGTCAGGCCACGAGTGTTGGATTTTTTCTCGACTATATTTTTATATATATATATATATATATTATAAGGAAAAAGAAAAGGAAAGAATAAGAGGAGAGGGAGTAAGAATTGGCCTATAATAGAGGGTGTTACATAGATAATCAGAGTTAAATGACCTAAGTTGGTTGTGGTGGAGTCAGGTATAGATAAACGTGATGGTTGAAAATGGACACTGATATAAATGCAATCTATCAACACCTGTGCAAGAAAGAAGAATGAATAAAAAACAAGCTATGAAACATTTTAGAGAGGAACTTAAAATTATTATAGAATGGGAATAAGAATTTAAAATTAATACTTTTATATAATGATGTTAATATTAATCCAATCAATACTACATCTTTAACTATATAGCAAAAGTTACAGTAAAAGAATTTGATAACTTATTTTAATAAAATTGTGAAGAGTTATGATCGTGCATGAAGTGATACAGCATGTAGAAATAGAATTGTTCCAATGAACTTTCCTTTTTGGTTCCTTGACTTCAAGATTTGTACATACTAGATTGCCAAGTAGGTCTTATAATTTCACTGTTAAAATTGCTTAATGTAACCATATCTTATATTTTAATTGTTTCTTCTTCTCAACTATAGATGTCTCTTCCAGCTTTTTGCTTTCCTGTCAACTACTATCTTTGAAAATTTAAATGCAACATCAATCATTGTCTCCCGTCTCAATGAATCTTGTTCTTTTACTCTCCTTTCTTTTTAATAATATTTTCTCAGATTATTTCACACTCAGTAATGTCTTGCAGCTCTGTGGCTTGTATGGTCTTATCTGAGGTGAAATAATTAGAGAAAAATCTTCCATTGCCAGTTGCTCTATGGCACTTGATCACAGTACAAATCAAGGAAGCACTTCAAAAACCATTTAAAAAAGTCTCTTGCAGCCTACCATATAGAAGATTATGAGTAGGAAATTATGTTACATTATTTCACACTTGATATTGCTTGATGTAACCATAAGTTCTATGTTAATTGTTTCTTCTACTTGAGTATGGAAGCCTCTTCCAGCTTTTTATTTTCCTGTCAACTACTATCTTTAAAAATTTAAATGCAACAGCAATGATCATTTTCTGTTTCCTTGAATCTTGTTCTTTTATTCTTTATTTTGAAGAGATTGAAGGGAAGAATAACCCGCCCCTGAAAAACCTTTTTAGGTCGTCCAATACGACTCTCAAACCCTAGTAAGCCCGAACATGTGTTCGCCCTCTCTACCACTTCCAAACAGAACTGCTTTGGGGCAAAAAAATTTTTATACAGCATCGAACCCAGGGGTCAACAAACTTCGGCCCACCCCCTGCCAAGAAGGCGTGACCCAATATCTCGACTTCCCCCTACGCAAAGTTTGGATTTTCCAAAACCCCTTAACAAATTCTTCCGACCCCGAACCCAGAATCCCAGCCAGGTGGTATCCTCATGGAATTTCAACCCGGGCCCCAAAGGGAATCGGGCCCCCCGTAAGACTGCCAATAGATCATCTTTACGGACCCCCAACTAAACTTGTTGTTAGAAACGCCTGGGCGTTGGAGACCATCCAAAACCCCCAAGAGGGTTTAGGCTTTTTCCCATAAAAAAGCCTGGGACGGGAAAGCCCCCCTTTTCCCCCCTGACACTTTTAGGGAAAAATTTTGGGCGTCTTTCCAAACCCCCCTCATTCGACCCGTTTGCAAAAGGTAAAAGAAGCAATTGACGGGTCTCAAACTGGGAAAACCCCCGACCGCCCTCAGAGGATGGGGCAACAGACCCCGAGATACCAAAAAGGGCCCTTTTCCCCCCACAAGAAAGAGAACAAGGTCCACAAGACTTGCCGGGCAGCGGAGGGGAAACACA